TCAAAAACTATCTACCAGCTAGAATGTCGAATGCCGCGGCTGTAGCAATAACCATGCTAAAAACCCAGACAGGAAAAAGCAAACGAGCCAGGCAGAGCCGCTCAGAATCATTCCCGACGAGGACAAGGATGTTAGAAGAGTGATTGCCTAGCCATTAATGGCGCTACCATATGGCCTCGGTCACATGGTTTGTGTGGTTTGTGACGTAAGGAAAGGGAAGCTTGAGGTCATGGTGGGTAATTGAACGTAGTGAATTGGTTGTTACACTAACAGCTACAAATTTAAACCAATTATCGTTTTGTAAAAAGTTACAATATAGTACACATAATATAGGGATTCTAACATCAATATTTTGTTTTCCTTTTAGTACTTATGTAAAGCCTTGTATAAATCATTCTAAGCATTCAAAAGAGAATGTTTGTGACTTTGTGATCACTGTTTTTTCAGTATGTTCCACTAATGACCTATTGGGAGAGATTTGAATTGTAAGACTGTCTGAGTAAGAAAGAGCAAAAAAAAAATGCCCACATGAATCTGCAGTCTCCAATGTTTCCGCTCACACTTATACTGAATCATTATTCTCTTTACCTTGTACACAACTAATTTATGTATATCTATTTAAATAAATGCAACTTAAGTTAGCAAAGATTTTAAGTGATTCTGAGACAAAACCACAGACACAAAAAAAGAGAGATATAATTGTTCATTTTTCTGATCCCCCAGACTTGGCCTCTTTCAGACTAGTATCATTGCCAGTTTGGAACTTTAAAACATATATTAAATAAATTCAATTGATTGAAAAGTTCATTCAAATCCCTCTGTACGACTTCAGCATTCATTCTATATCTGCCTATAACATACATAGATATAAATTAAAACGTGCTCACCTTGAACAGATACTGAGTTTAATAGACAGAACGTAAACTTCAGCAGTGGTCTCTACCCTCGGTATGTAAATAATCATCGGGCCCTCTAACCTACCCATTGAGGAGCGACCTAGTGCAAAAAATTTCTCGAACATCGCCCCCAACGACAATTTTCTGGTCATTGGTAAATATGGTGCAGGTTTTTAGCTGACTGACAAAGTCGGGGATTTCTTTTGTTGCGATAGACGGGAGTTCGCAGTCAAGCCGAAAAGGTGAAAAACTGACTAGAAATATTTATTTGAGATAAAACAACAATTAATCTGTCTACAGTAACTTAGGCAGTCTTGTATTCGACCAAAAGCATGATGAGAAATGTGTTGTAATTGGCTAATTGTCAAAGAATGCGTACCGTCTCACCCAATACGAAGAGTTGTTTCTGATAGATCAGCTGAGCACTAACATTTGCGGAGTGCATGTGCGTATTTAAAGTATTGTGTAAGTTGGAAGTATTGTTGGTAAGTACACTTTATATTTATATATTATTTTACCTCCATGATATGTATGTTACATCAGTGTACCCAAACCCAGGCCTATGGCATTGTAGTGCAAATCGAAGCCTTACGATTTTGTGCAGGGTGTCGTTATCAATAGGAATTTCAGCATACATGTACGTGTGCATGTATCTACAGTTTACGGAAAAAGTTCCTTTTGCACCATTCACAATTCAATTGTATAAGCTCCCTCTACGTGTTCTAAGGAGGAGCATATATCACATACAAGTAAATTGGGCAGTGCTGGAGTGTAGGAGTGCAAAAGGAACTCTTTCCATCAAATGAAATACTCAAATATGGACAACATTATTTACTAATGCTCTTCATAAACTTTAATGTTGTATTCAAGTCAAACAAATTACCCGAATCTTGGAGTTCAGGATAAATTGTCCCATCCCAATTTTTAATTCAGACAATCTACTTAGGGCATTATGTTATTTTACACTATAAGGGAAATTTAGATTAATAGAGTATGTGTATAATTGGCACGGTTCTAGAAGCTGTACCTACACACGAATTGGTGACGTCATAAAATACATGACCTTCAATCGGGGTCGTTTCCTTGGTACATGTATATACGAATTGGTAAATACAAATTACAATAAAGATACTTAAGACATTACACATAAGGTAAAACAAATCACGTGACAATATAATGATAATAACGGTAATAAATCCTAGCTTAACAGTTGAACAGAACAATCATATAGTCAGTCGGGTCACGCCAAGGGTCACGCACTTCATTGCAAAATGGCCGTGTGGTTGAAACTGGGTCATGGCGTGACGGGTGAGGAAGATATCATTAAACAATCACAAAAGCACAATAAAACGGGGAAGTGGTTGCATATTACGGCATAGCCAACATGGGAAATAAAAAAACGCCCAATACAAACAACATGGGTTCGAATCACACTAGATACACACTCACCAGAACCGAAGCAATCAGAAACCAACAATCGTTTTGGCTTTCCCGTTCAACTCATCGGTACATTGGAGTAGTTAGAAAAATGAACACCACTCAACGACCAACGTCATGGCATGGTACACAAGCGTGCCATCGAGATAAAACAAAATAAGCGTGAAAAGACAGTGGGTTCGAGTCCTGCTCAGAGCTACCTTAAAAACGTTAATCAAATAAAATGAAATCCCTCAAACCGTAACAAATAAACTAAAAACGTCGCAAAAAAAATAATAAACCTCTCAAAACTCCACCATGCAAAACTGAATGAATACAAATAAAATAACTTGCGTCTTAAACTGGACGACGCGCAATTTGTTCAACAGTTTCCAGGTTGTGACAAGAGATAAACAAGACCCAAGTCAAGGTAAGTTTTGTTAAAGTGTCGATGGCGTTCCCTATATTACGCAAAACAATTCAGGCAATAGACCAATATCTTCTGTGGTGTTGTGGAATTTATACTGTGTCTGCGGAATTGTTGATTGAGGGTTCAAAGTCAGTAGTTAACATGTTGTTAGAAAGTTTCACAATTAAATCAAATATCCAATGATACCAGTATATTTATTTCATTATTTTAACAACTTGTAATTGTGTGAATTAATCAAACGCGAGTTGTTTACACCAAAATAAGGTTCAAATACTTGTCAAAACATTTATTCTCTCAATTTAACAACTTGTAATGGTGTAAATATTTAAACGAGACTGAGTTGTCTACACCAAAATAAGTCTCAAATATTTGTCCACACATTTATTCTCTCAATTTAACAACTTGTAATGGTGTAAAATATTTAAACGAGACTGAGTTGTCTACACCAAAATAAGTCTCAAATATTTGTCCACACATTTATTCTCTCAATTTAACAACTTGTAATAGTGTAAAATTATTAAATGAAAGTTGTCTACACAAAAATAAGTCTCAAATATTTGTCCACACAATTATTTTCACAATTTAACAACTTGTAATGGTGAAAGTTAATTAAACGACAGTTGTCTACACCAAAATAAGTCTCAAATATTTGTCCACACATTTATTCTCTTAATTTAACACTTTGTAATTGTGGGAATTAATCAAACTCGAGTTGTTTACACCAAAATAAGTATTAAATATTTGTTGAGACATTTAGTCACTCAATTTAAAGTGCCTGTGAAATGGCTGTTATTTTCACACCTAAAATTATCCTTTGATACATAATATTATTAATTTTTATGTTTTTAAGCATAAATTATTTTTTTTATGTGAAAAAATGCGTTTTAAACTCGGTCTACGGCAACTTTTTTTTTGTGTATTTTAAACTGAGACTTCTCATTAGCTTCTTATTTGCATACAGAAATTCCCCCTGTGACGTCAGCAGGGGAAGTTGCTGAGTAGCTTGCATTGCCGATACGTGTAAATAAAGCAAATTTCTTGTGCTGTTTTCTCATCTTTGACTAAATTGCAACTTGTGTACTTGTTCGTCGAGGAAGAATGGACCATAATGAATACATATTATCAAGTTTGTTGCATGGGGTTGAGTCAGATGCGAAATATGTCCGGTCTGGTGTAGCTAGTCACCGGAGCACGTTTGTACACTGTCGCTGGACTCTGGCATTGGACAAAATCAAATTTGACGCCGGAATCGTCTTGTTATTTAGCAGGTTACTAGACACTGTTGATTTATAAAATAGAGAAATAGTTAAAAAAAAACGACAAAACCCAGTTACTAAATAAATGACTGCCGCGTTGTGAACGCGTTGGGTCATGAGGGGGACAAGTGTGTGAATGGCGGCGTTTAATTGGATAATAAAAATAATTGAGAGTGACTCCACATACAGACAAATTCAGAGTGGATTTAGCATGATTTTCATAATTATGACATCATATTAAAAAAATACATTGACAGCTCAAGCCCAGATTCTTATTCCGTAAATTATTATGCCGATCAAGCTGCAAGTAAAGGCAACAAAGGTGTGAATTCGATATTCAACACCAATAACCGAACAATTCAGACACTTTTAGCCTGCGAAAATGAAAACAGCCTGAGGGCTGCGTAATTTCCTGTTTGTCCGATGCTTCGTTTTCGTGTCATTATCAAAATTACTGCTACCTTTTACATAACACAGGTGGTCTCTATAAATCGATAATCAGGATCGCAAAAAAATCAAATCATTTGAAACACATACTCGACGTCTTTCTCCCTTCTGAAATTCGTCTCAGTGATCATGGGCTGGTCCGAAATCTATTTTTTCGAAAACGTTTTGTATTGTCGGCGTTTCTCGTTAAAATCTAGTTGTTTTGTCATGGACAAGGACAGTTTTTCAAAAAAAAATGAATCTGAGGTGAAGTGGACACTGCATATGACGCTGTCCACCCCAACCTTTCCCTGTTATTTTCACGGCTTTTGTCCACTGATTTCGCACCTTCGGATCGATTGGAAACGTGTAAATACTTACACTATGACTATACGCATTACTGCAACCGCCCACAACACAACGTTTAACCATCATAAAAGTTTGTTATGAAAACAACTTCTGAAAATTCGCTCTCTCAAAAATAAAATAAAATAGACAAAAAAAAAAGAAACGCCGATTAAAAAATGTATATCGTTTAAAAGTACAGTTGTACGTTGAATGACACAGTGATATAAAAGTACGGCCCAGGGGTATGGCTTCTTCTCATATTTTAGCATTTAGTGGCACACTTTCGGCGAGAGTCAGAAATCCGGAAACAGTCGACCGTTTAAGGATAGGTGGGCGTGGCTACAGCACGGGAAATATCTCAAATTTACTTGGATACGAGTAATCATTTTCAGCAAAAAAATCAATAATTGCCCATTACAGTGGGGCACAGGTCTAAAATGGAAAGCGTGTGGGTGGGCATTGCACAGGCACTTTAACAACTTGTAATTGGTGGAAGTTAATTAAACGTGACTTTTCTACACCAAAATAAGCCTCAAATAATTGTCCACACATTTATTCTCTCAATTTAACAACTTGTAATGGTGTAAAATTATTAAACGACAGTTGTCTACACCAAAATAAGTCTCAAATATTTGTCCACACATTTATTCTCTCAATTTAACAACTTGTAACAGTGTAAAATATTAAACGAGAGTTTTTATCAGTTGACATCATGCACTTACCCCCAAACAGTGCACACAGAGTAT